ACTTCCTCTGATAATATAAACACATCACTCGCAACACTCACACTGAAGAGTGTTGCTGTCGGATTCACCTGGGACTGCTTATGTGAGCTGCATTTTCTGAATGGAAAAACTGACTGGAGAAGTACTTTGATGAAGAGCCAAAACCACCAATGCTTGAATGCTTAGAACTACCGTAAATGGCTTAAAGTTAATTAATAAACACAGTGCAAAAGGTCTGAGCCCTACTGCGGAAAGCAATATCTAAACGTCAGCCAACATATATCAGCTTCTCAAGTTTCATTTCTGTTTGAATATTTTAGATATGCGCCTAGAAAAAGCATCTGTTATATGTTATATATCAATGACAAAAAAAAGTTGAGCAATTTAAGTTGTAGTTACTGACATATCAAACACATGAACAAAACCAAATTGGATAACAGGCTTGTGCCCCTCAATGAATATATTGAGGGGCACACCCATGATCCACTGGTGTATTCATCACTTTGAGAATTCCCTCTTCAGTGACTACAGAAATGGAGTATAATTTAACTTTGGGGCCATTTCATTGTTCCTGTAAGCTTCTTAGCCCTAAAATATTCATATTCCAGGCAGGGGAGGAAGAAATCTGTGATGACAAGAGGCAAGAAGGGGAAGAAAGAGGATAGTGTGCAAGATAGGTAGAGAGAGAGAGAAACTGACAGAGTGAGGAAAAAAGGAGCAATGAAATAAATGAAAAAGGAACTTTCAAGAAAGGATTGACAAAAGGAGTGGAAAACAGCATTTTAACTGATGCTGTCTTCTAAACAACTTTTTCCCTGTCTTTCTTTTATTTTTTCTCTGACACACTTCATGACAGACCTGTCCAACAAAAGACAAACCCATTTGCCTGTCATCCTTCACAGGCTGCAGTGAAGGGAAATAGTGAGCGCAGACAATCTGTGGAAATATACACCATCATTATGATGTGAATGTCACTGAAAGCAATTATTTACAAATATCCTGTCACACTTGTGCTGATAGCTGCAACTCTGTCACAGTGAGACTAAAGCCTGTATAACATCTTAACTCTATAATGCGTAGTTACATCAGCTGCATGATGCAAAAACACCACAATCTGACATAACAGTGGACAAGATGAGTTTTCCTTATTGTTCTGTACACAAGGTGTTCCATACCTTGTGTACAGAACAACTACTTAACCTATGCGTGGTACGATGTACATGTTTATATATCAATGACAAAAAAGAAAGCTACATTAAACAAGCAAAAGCATGTGCTTCAAAACATTTAATACTTGAAACCAAAGTCAAAATGATGTGGAGCTAATATTTTCAACTGACTTCTGCATTTTGTATTATTGGTTAATATAATTAGCCTGGCTAACATTGCCAAATGTTCACATCAGTATACATTTGTATACCCAAGAAAAGTAGATATTTTGTCTGACTGTAAGATTTCGATAGTCCTGCAAACGCGTCCAGTATAATTCAAAGCATTTTATATATATATACATATATATAAATAAAAATTTATAGCACTTTTATTTTATTCCTTCCGTCTTTTGTGCTTCCTCAAATACCTTGTGGATACTGAAAATGGCTAAGTTTCACTCTTACAGTAACAACTTCCACACAAAAAAATACTATTTGCTTATTTCTGGGTGGATCTTTATTATTTTATTTCAGTTTAGTTTATTCTGGTCGTATCAGATCAGTTGTATTGCTGAAAAGTTAACCTGCGCAGTTAAGTCTTTGAAGATGAATGTCTGTATGAAAACTGCTGCTTTATTGCTTTTATCAACACATTTGTACATCTGCATTAGAGGAGAAGCACTTCAAAGCCATATGAACAATCAGTTATCAATTTAAGTCTGAGATAACAGGCATGCAAAGAAAACTTGCATTATATGGAAAATATTTGCTATTGACCTTCCTGATTATACTAATATCTTTAAAATAAATGGTCATAGATTAGATTAGACAGTTAAACTCAACACATTTAATAATAATAATGATTGTATGACGGCAATCCAATGACAGTTTTCAGTTTACAGATCCTGGAGGCTCATACTAGATTCATTTTTTTTCTCCAAGTGGACCTGATATGTCATAAGTTTAATAGTAAATATTGTTTCAGTACTTTTTATGTGTTCAAATATGACCTTAATGACAGACCGATAAACTAAGTAAAATATGCTGATAAAAATCAGCTCAAAGATTTCAGTTATTCAAAGCAATGACGGGAATATGTACATCAGTTTGCAGAGAACTCATGATGTGGACTTTGTACACAATATTTACTTATTTAGGGTAACTATAATGTAACGATACCACCTGCAGTTTCTGATGCATCCTAACTCTTCTAACTCTGCGATTGATTGAGGCGTTAGCCTGTGTGAGCAAACTAAAACAGTTATATAATCTGCCCTAAAGTCAAATTACAGCCAGCATGATTCAAAATAGAATGCTGTTAATTTGATAAGCATATTGCAGTACTTGTCGAGCATAGTGACACAGAAAACCTCAAACACATAATAAAGGTAAAACAGTTGATAGTTTTGAATGTATATGTAACCAAAATAATCATTTATTGAAAGAAAATATCGCATTTGTGTTTAGGAATTGGGGTGTTTGTCTATTTTTATTTTTATTTTTTCAGACAGGATAAAAGGCTAGCATTTGACAGAAACCTTAATCTCCCATAACCAAACATAAAATGTCATAAGTTGTCGAGCTTTTGTGGAGCTTGGCTTTAGAAGAAATGAAAAATACAAACGGTGGGTAGGTTGTAAAAAGGATGAGATGAGGATAAAGTCAAGCGTTGCGTAGATGTAACCTGAGAAGAACAGTAAGTAGTTAGGCATGTGGGCTGTTTGGTATCCAGGCAAGCTCGGCTGCTGCTCCTGCTGTTGCTGCTTTAAAAGAAAACCCCCGACTGAATTGATATGCTAATTTGATTGAGAAGGTGTGGGTGGATATGGAGAAGGTTTTAAGCTGCGAGGGGGACCGAGAGCGAGAATGACAATGGAAAGAGAGAGGAAAGAGAAAAGGCGAGTGGGAGTAGGAGACATTATAGGGAGAAGAACACTGAAATGAAACAAATAGGAAGGAGTGGGAACGAGAGGCGAGCATATGGTGTCTTTGCATTTCAGGGTTAGACAGTTTGCAGTCAGTCAGTGGACTACTGTCAATCAGTTAACAAATAGCAGCAAGTATGTAGTCCCTTTCTACAATTACTTGATGCACATGCCTTTTCAGAATCAGATTGTGATTTACATGTGTTCTGTACACTTCAGCGATCGGCTGAAAGCATCAATGCAAGGAAAATACATCAATGGATGTTTAACTAGGCCTTCAGCAGCTGTTAAGGAGAATGACTGCTTAAAGGCTGTCTATACAGGTGAATTAAAATATATATATATTGAAAGGCTAATTAATTTTAGTAATTCAGTTCTGAAAGTAAAACACATTATTTGAGATCATTATGTAGTGAGAAAGTGTTACATTTATTTTTGGTAATTTAAATGATTATCACCCACAACTAATGAAATTGCATTTTTCAGTTCCTTGGAAATTAACGTGGCACAATATCAATCAAAGGGACTTTTAGTACATGAATGCAAACCTACTGAAAAATGTCCATGTGCTTTACCATGATTTGTGACATCGGTCCATTAAAGCATGGAGGCAATAATATTTGTAGCTAAGCTAATGGGTTGCGCTTCTCTACATTGTTGCTTCTACGATCTCTCACTTTCCTCTTGAACAATGCTGTGCATTTTTTAAAAATGTTAAACTATTTACAATAATTAAATATTTAATAGCATTCTCAGTCTCAATAAACAAATATTAAAATTTAAACATTTATAGTGCAGTCGTGAGCCTTAATACCTTTCAGTAAACATTCTTAATAGACATTTACATCTTTGTAAGAAATTTTACTTCATCTCTCAGCAAACCATTGCTATAACCAACTAATTCAACCTTTCAGCAACAGATTTTCTTGTCTATGGAAAGTCTGTTCTTAAAAATTGCTCGCTCCTCTATAATTGCGGCTCATGGAGTTCGAAAATTGCACAAGGCCCCTTGACTGCCAGTCTTGAGAGGAAGAAAACACAATAAGCCGACAGTAACATGAGGACATGATTGAACATGAAGTTTCTAGTGTTTTCAGTATGCCTCTTTAAAAAAAATAAGAGTTCAACTTTTTTCTTTTTTTTTGCTTTACTCACACCATCAGATACATACTTTTAAAAAGTTTTTTTGTTTGATTGTACCTGTGAATCTGATATTACAAAAGAAGGGATTAATGATATATATTTAGTTCTAGCAACAATTACAAGCTGCTGCTGTCTCTTCTCCTTTTACAGTATTTTCCAAAAAGCAAGATGAAGAGATTTGTCCGTTGCCTTAAAATCTGTGATGTTATAATGGTAACTCCTCATCATAAACACACCTGGTATTGCTTGTATTCTTTCATGTAAGTTTAAGAAATCCATGAATCTCCTCTGGCAGTCCTTTGTGGCGCCTAAACACTTACTCTCACTTAACGCCGCCTATTACCCTGGAGCTGCAGTCTCCCCCATACCTCGTTCACTCTGCTCCTCTAGACTAGCTGTAGCAGCAGTGAGCAAACATCTGGTGGAACTGCTCTTCTGCAGAGCTCTGCAGAGCTAACCCATACAAACTACTTTTCAGTCCAATGTTCCTAAGAGCAATTGTAAATTACATAATGGAGGAACATTGTTGTGATGAGGTGTTGAATATTACTGAAGGTAACAGTCATTTAATGGTGCTCTCAAATGGCACTCTGGAAAATACATAACATCCCCCACTTTAAATCTTTGTTAGTTGGAGTTTAGATCAAGGCTCTATCAAACTCTCCATTTTCTTTATGAGCATGAAATTGAACATTAGACAATAATATTGTTGAAATCAACAAGGTCATCCACATGCACTGTTCATGCGAACTGCTTTAGCTTTGTGTATGATAACCCCAATTTGATCTTCTCTGTTTCTTAGAAACAACCTGAACCAGAGGAAGCACAAAGAACAGTTGTCATTCAAGAACGGAGGCTTCATGTCGGTGTGCACAATGGCTGGTGTTTCCTTGATAAGCCCCAAGTGGTGGTCCTGGAGCCCATTGCGTCAGGAGTCAGAGGACAAACAGACAGCACCTCTAAGAAGAGCACGCTGCTCAAGGACAGGTGAGCAGAAGTTACAGGCATATGTTTTGTGGAGCTGTAAATGTAGGCTGCAGAGGATGGTGAAACTGAACTCTGATGTCGGACAAGATCTGCAGATGCGCAAAAATAGTTTTTGGAGTGCTTATTTCCATGGCATTTCATCAGCTTCTCCAAGCACTGTTCTTTTTGCTGATCGAGAAATGATTGAAAGTTTATCTAATAAAGTCAGCAAAAAAATATATATATATTTGAAGAAAGCTTGCTAGGCATTAATGTCATTTGAGTATAATACTGGCAGATATCAGGGTTAGGTACTATTCCTGGTGTCCATTTCTGCTCTCACTTCTCTGGATCTGCAGCACACACTATATTTTGCTCTACATGCTGTCCTTTGTTTGTGTAGATGGCTGGGACAATTTTTTTCTTTTTTGAATTTGAATTCAGAGAACAAATCAAACATTTGGACTGTATTTAGTAGATAGGTGACATCTAAAGGCAGCTGGTTGCACTGGATTTATTTTTTAGGGTTATCATGGTAAAGGAGGAAAAAAGCATGCCACATATATATTAAAAAAACATTTTGAGAACCATGAATAATTTTCTTCCCCTTCATAATAAGGTTCAGCTTTATGTTGAATCCCAACAAAACACACTGAAGTTTCTGATTATAACTTAACAAATTGTGGAAGAGGTATGAATACTTTTACAAAGCAAAGGTGGTATCACATTAATACAGAGCTGCTCATAGGTCACATTATTTTAATGCTTGTCTGTTTTAACCAGACTTGGACAGTTTTTAATGGTCACAAATTGAAGTGTATTATTGTCATGGTGAAAACTGTAAAGTCTTGCTGAAGTAGCAGTTTTTACTGCTGCCTTCTCTCAAACCCTGGGATGTCCTAAACAACTTTTGTTGCAGAGTTTAATGGCTAATAAAAACCTGCTGTTGCATCATTGCAGTCCGCCACTCCGTAACACTATTCTTTGCTGCATCCAGAGGCAACAATGGTAAAAGAAAACAAAGAAATGAATGATGAAATCCAGTCAGTAGAGTTTTGGTACATCCATTGGAACCAAACTAAGAACAAAATGTAAAAAAAAAATAATGCAAACAGATTGCGTTCCCCAGCTCAGATCAAATGTTTGGCAAATTCTTCAAATGTCTTCTTCTGGCATTCCAAATAAATTTGCATAAATGAAGTATCCTTCTGTTTATGCACTTCCTCCTCCTGCCTGTATTGCTCATTACCTGCACCTCCTCCACACAGTAGCTATATCATCTGTGTCAAGGGCGTAATTTAAGATATGATTTTTTTTTTCCTCTGGTGAATAATGCTGCAATTAGCAGTCAACTCCCAAGCAAAGTTAGTTAATATTGTTGAATTTATTCAGATTCTGATGTTTCAGAAAGTATTCAGTGTGTGAATGGAACAGCTTTATTTATTTATTTATTTATAGTTTTTTTACACCAATGTTTTCGGATAATTATGTAACAGTTCAGAAGAAATGCTTTGGCCTTTGAGTCTTATTGAGACCACAAAAAGAGTCATTGTCAACCTTTCCAAAGCGGGTGTTGTGATGTAAGGTCATCAATCCACTCAGTGAAAGAAAATCTCATCTCTGACAGTACAATAATTTCTGAAATCTTTTGGAGTATTTTCGGAGTAACTTTTTTTCTTTTAACTGAATTGGTCTTTAACTCTCCTCAACGCATCATGTTCCTATGTTTTTCAACGTGGAAACATGATGGCATGTTCCAAATAAGGTTAATAAACACACTTCTGAAAATTTGTTAAAAGATGGCTTAATGTTTACCTCCAGAGGTTTTACATGTTGATACTCAATATGGATGTTGCATATAAAATGCCTATTTTACTGCATTTCTTGTTTGCATGGAGAACAATTGTAATCTAATGGATCTCACCGGCATCCATTTATATGTCCTTCACACATTACAGCTTTCCAAAATTCTTCTATTTAATGTATGTAAAGCAAAGTATATTCATGTTTCATTCATCTCGATCTATTAAGACGTTAACATTTTCATGAGCTTAATCACAGTTTCTCATTTCAATTTCCAATGATTTTGTGCAGAATTACATTCATGTATAATGACCTGTTGACACAGGTTTGGCACGTGTGAATTTTATGCACTTTTCTGTAGGCTTCTCGGATTTGTGGCTGGATTTCTGCCAGCTGTCCAGAAACAGCACAACTCCTCTGTTACGTTTTGCATTACAGCTCACTTTGTTCAGAATACACCAATTGTCCCCAGAAACCCATAGTCGCTGCTCTGGTGACGGCACAAACCTCTTGGCTCACACAAATAGAAGTTCCAATTAATGAGTTGTGTGGGCGCATCAGCGAGCCATTAAGGAGCAGGTCTGAAATTTAAATTTTTTTTTTTTTTCAGAAATATTAGGAATATGTGTCATGACAGTCTATTAAATATTTTTATACTGTCTTGCACATTTTCCTACCCACAAATATTAATTTTTGTTTTACGTTTCTGCACTGCTTTTTTATGAAATGACACAAATGAAAATATTTCTGATTAGTATTCTACTTTGAAGCAGATTTGGAGGTGATGTGGAGGCTCTGGCTTTGGTTGCAAACATAAAGTTCGCAGCTGAAGCTCAAACAGTTCCTTTCCGATTTCTATACGATGCTCTAATTCTGCTATATATTTTTTGCTTGAAGTTTGTCCTTTCTTAATTATACCTACTGTGAATGGCGTTAGGAAATGTGGTTGTGCTGACAGCACTGTCTCCAAAATACCTAATTGGTTGAAAACATAACACTGTTCGCCCACATGCTGTCACTGGACAACCTTACTAGAAACCTCTGCATGCACCGAATGTGTGTTCTGACATTTTTCCACACATTCTTGTCAGTGTGAGTGCTCTTATTTAAGCTGTGCCTGTCAGGGTAATTGGCTGGGATATTTTATGCAGTTTTATAAAACAGTAATGCACAAAACAGTAACGTGAAGGATGAAATAATTCCATTTAAAAGGTGAGAAAACTGGAATGGCAAAATAGGCTAGGGAACTCAAAACATGACACAAATTCTTGAAAGTGGGTATCCACAACAAAATGTATTGTTTTTTTTTCTCTGTTGCATACCAGGCCCTTGGAGAAACTATGATTATGTGTGATGACACGGCTCTCTTAACATAACAAAAATGTATGTACAAACATTTAACTATACAACAAACTCATCAAGATGCTTACCCACAATCTGTGCCTGACGACTCGTGTTTTATGATCACAATAATCATCATCTCCTCCTTACGAAAAAATATTTTGTGCTTCTTTTTTTTTTTTTTTTTTTTTTTTCTTTTTGAAGAGGGGAATGTCTGTTGGAAATCTGGTTTGATATACCCCTATAGTGTAGGCAGTAATTATGGTGTTTTGACTCTCACTGGTGCTGTCAGTGATAGCTGACAGTCTGTCTGGCTTGTGTTATGCTGGATGGTTTTAGAAACTGGAGAAAAAGAAGGGGAAAACTGACTGCAGAGAGTCTGTGATGCGAAAGGAAGAAAAGGCACTCGGCCCCACCTCATGACACGCGAACGCTGCACAGTATGCTCCCGCCTCTGGTGTATGCAAACTGTGAATGACGAATACATAGAAAGCCATTTCATTTCTCACACAGGAGGCAAGTGCTTGCCAGGAAATATTTAGTAAGGGATTGTAAATCTTCCAACACATTGATTTTGTTTCACTTTTAATGGAAAATATAGCTATAGGAGGAGAAATATTAAAACCTTTCACATTTTGGAAAAGCATTGTAATTTCTTCATTACCGCCTTCACATTTTTCACGCCCACGTTATACATCAATATCTGTTTGCTTTCTCTTTAGCTTTGCAACATCATCACGTCCTCAGATGCTGGGCCTTCGCAGCAGCTTGGAGATCAAAATGGCCAACAATCAGGCTTTGGCAATCGTCTTTCAGCTAGAGTACGTCTTCTCCGCTCCTATTGGCCGAGAGACTATGGTAAGAGGGACACACATGTATTATAGAGTGGGTTAATCCTAAATCAGTTCCTGGCTTGGTATCAACTTCTTCTTGAAATGGGCCCCAGCCAGGAAGTTATCTTTATAGAAAACATCTTTACATGAATAAAAATGAGAGGAAAAAAAGCTGTCAAACACTCATTTCTTCCCGTCTTGCTGTTTGAGCTTCCTGTTCTTGCAGATACATATCAAGGAGTTTGAATCCAAACATTTTCTGTGTATGGTTTCAGCAATGGCCCCCAAGTCACCAACTATCTCTGAGCTATTATGATTGGAAGAGTAGACGACATGCTGGTGTTCTGTTATCAATCATTTATTGGTTTTATAGTACAAGTTTAGATTTCTGAGTTATAAACCAGATTGCAATATTTAACATAATGTCAGATACAACTCTTAGGAGGGGGGGGTCATTAAAAGCAGTGGGTCTCATTTTTAGATCATCCAGGTAAGAGACTTTCTTCTGCTAAGAACAGTCTGCTGGAAGCAGACTACATCCCAATCATATCCACATTAAGGCAGGAGCTCTCCAATTAGCCTCTTATATTTATTATATCTTTTTGCACTTCAGCTGCTGTGCCAGGAGGTCCTGTATAACCAAAAATATCTCAACAAGCAACTGAAACAAACAGTCGTGTTTTTGAAAATATAGGAAAAGAAATGATAAACACGAACTGCTCTATGATCAGGTTGCCTGCACATAGTGATTAGGATGCATAGTGCTCTACTTTAAAAAGGCCTCCAGCTAGGGCAGATAGACACACACCTCCATGTTGTGCATGAGAAACTAAAACTTTGACACTGTCAAATAGACTGATTTGACAAGAGAGGAAGAGGGAAAAAGTGTGTGCAGGGGTTGCTTTTCTTGATTCCTTTTGACTGCACTAATCATAGCAGAGTATTCATCCTGTGGTTCACATTGCAAACATTAAAATAAAAACACTATTACAGACATGGCAGAACACCAAAAATCCCTCATTGTACATGTGACAAACAAACTCTTATTCTAATTTAAAACCACAATATTCCAATTCTTCCCTGTATTTGTAATTTCTACTGCATAACTGTTGACTCTATTAAGTTAGATGCAGTTATTTTATGGATATTCATTTTTTTCTGCAGCGTTAAATGAAGCTGGAGCTTGCTCATGTTTAGGGTTTTTGGTCATATAAGTTCAACAAGCCAGTGATGGAGAGATCCACACTGGCGACATGTCTTGGTAAAACAAGTCGATACTAAACAGCTGCTCCCAGCATTACAAAATACACAAAAAGACTGTGGTAATTATGTGTGTGGGAGAGCCCTCAACACTTTGCACATTCTGCGGCTAAGCTCCTGCTATGTCACAGAGTACAACCCTGTATACAATGAAGGGTCAATAGGGCAGCAATTAACAGCAGCAGAAAAACAAGCAGTCACAATGTCACCTGAATGACATGGTACATCAGTATTAATATAATAACTCATGTCTTTTCTTACCATGGCAACCTGTTGACAGGCACTTTTCTGTGTGGGTATTTATATGGTTGTTTGTTTCATAAAATTTAAAATATCATGTGAGCCTGTTGACTCATAATGGATAATAATTAGACTAAGTGACATAGTTATACTGTTTAGCTTATTCTCGTCTGAGATACATAATAGAGTTTAAATAAGGAGTAAAGACATTGCTAGGTTCTGTGAATATCTAGTTTATTCCTAAGAAGATCATTAGGAATACTGATCAAGTCAGAATTAAAACACTGATTCAAAGTTGGCTAAGGAAATGTAGCTGGGTTTGAGGCTCAGTGACCATCGTTGGTGAAAGTAGAGAAGGATATAGATGTCTGCTCTAAAACTTACAGCAGTCCGTCAGTCAATGTTGAGAGATTTCACTCAAAAATGTTGCAGCTGGATATGAATCCAAAAGGAGAAAATTACCAGTCAACTCAAGTTATGCTGCCACAAGGTCCAAAACCCGTGACTGCACTGTTGGTTGTGAAATATCCTCTCCTGTTGCCACCAGTGACTTTTATGATGCTCATTAGCTTTACTGTGGGTGTTCATGGTCCGCATAGTTAAACAAGCACAGACTAACATTTTAGGCTTTTACAGGGACACTTCCGTTGCATCTAGCGTTTAAATTTTTATTTATTTATTTTTTACATACAATCACTTCATATAAAATATATTTATGCTTTTGCAGAAGCTTTTTTTCCCCACCATTTTTCTTATGTTCACCTATGTTCAGAAATTAGAATAATCCTGTTGGAACAATCTAGTTGTTCTCTGGATCATCTCAGAATAGCAACAGATCCTCACCCACTCGCTACTCCACCACATTCACCTTTTCTACCATTGAATTCTGAATGTTTGATGAAGTAAAAAATATTTTAAAGCGTGCAGAATACTCTCTGTTTGTGGCGATGTCGTGTGGACGTTTTTAGTGCGTGCTGATACATCGGCATTCAAGTTATCACGTGTTTCTCCGGATGTTGGTTGTTAACCAAAAAGGATTTTCTCTCGTGCTTCCTCCTAAAAGACAGACACGCAGCTGCCGAACTTCATCTTGCAGTAAGACTCCCATATGATAATATCGGCTGATGGCTACAGCTTTATGCTCTGTGACTTTGGCAGCCAAGAACAGCATGATGAGGCAGTGTACTTGTGCATGCACTGTCTCAGCTGTCAGAGATGCGACTCTTCAAAAGTGTTGAAGTGGTACTGAGTTAAGGTGTGCCTTCAGGGAAGTCAGTCGAGCTCTGCCAACTGGATTTCAGACCATTTGATGAAAGTAAATGTGGATGATCATGCTGGATAGTCGTCACAAACTTCAGTAAGACTTTTTGAACATTTCCAAGACTTGGAATTGTTCTCTCAGTTGTAAATCAAGCAGCAAATAAATGTTTTTTTCCCCTCTTTAGAAACCTCAGTTACTGACTTACTTGCTGATTTTTAGTACGTAGAAAACATCATGAAAATCCTTGATTAAGAGCACCAAGTAAAAAAGCCACATTTGGTGTTATTTGTGGATTTATGAGCTCTTCAAAAATGTTTTTGCTAAGAACAGTTCTATAACCAATGATGGTTGCAGCAAGAAGGGTTGAGATCATTCTGCCTCTGTTTGTCCCCAGGCTGTCCAAAAAAGTTAATTGTATTCCTGCATCTACAGACTTTTATAGGGGTAAGTCGGCTCCACAATTGAAGTGAGTGACATAGTGATGATGTTTTCATCAGCCAGCAGCAGAATGTTCAAACTTAACAAGAATCAGACATTACACTGATGAGAGAACTAAGAAGGTACAGGTACAGTTTAACTGTGAATGTCAGCCAACAACACGATTACTACACTGAATTCTTCAGCTTTTGTTTCTGTTGTTTAGAAAGGATGCAGTGGTGAACAATGACACAGGTTTTGTTCTGACATTGATGCAGCACTACATTACCTGTTATTCTGTTCTGCCACTATTGGGCTTTTTTTGTAAACCCTCAGCTTGTGGAATAACACGCTATTTACTTGGGCTTTGTCTAAGGTTGATGGGAGCTCAGGAATGACTTGTCGTTTGTAATTATTTGATGAAAATCTTTTGCAAAAGAGCCTATTGTTTTTTTGGTACCCCAAAAACCAAGATCAGACATTAGCACTTCAATAGACTTGGAGAAGCTAAAAGCTGGATGATATGGCCAAAAGATAAAATCTCAGATTGTTTTATACCAAATTTAGTTTCTGATTTTAATGAATTTATTTTTTCCTCACTTTTTTCCTTGAAATACAAATTATGGAAAATGTCTTGAAACTTGCTTTGTACTTTAATTCATGTAGTTTCATTTTTTTTGTGCCGCAAAACTATAACTGCAACAGAATTTTTGCCACAAAGTTTCTCTCTTCTTCACTGCTAAATCACAATCATTCCACTCTAAAGGTTGACAGATGTGCTCCCTCCTCCACACCGTGCAGGTCTCTTAGAGCAGACCCATGTCTGCCGGTCCACAGCGGTAGTTGATATGTTTTTTGGAGTTTGTAGCGATGTAAATAATGGGCCAACAAATGGATGCTGTCAATCAATACATGTGCTCAATACTTGACTCGTACTACCCCTGAAGTGAGAATGAAAAACAGACAAAAACCATGCAGAACTTTCTAATTGGCATGAATCCACAAGCCACTCTTGTGGAGAAGTGCCGACAATGTTCCAAAGACCAAGACTAAAAAAAAGGAGCAGTGTTTTGTCTGTTTTTGCTGCTGTTCTCTGGAACCAACTGGAGAGATGCAGAAACTGTTGCTGTTCCTTTAAATCAAATGTGAAAACACTGCATTTAGTACAGATTAAGATTCAAAACTATCAGTTCATTTTATTTTGCTTTTGCCGTTCATTTGTTGAAATCAGAATTTGAATACTTTTGTCTTTTCATATAATGCCTGAGTTTTTTAAAAATGTATTTTTCTTCACTTTACTTTTCTGTGAAGCACATTTATTGCCTTGTGCATGAATATTGTTATACAAATAAAAAAAAATCATGCCTTACCTTAGAAATGTGTGCATAAAGACATTTATTTAGGTCTCACAGTAAACTTTTGTACTTGCTTCTCCCATGCTGCTCTGGCTTTCTTTTTTTAACTTCAACACTAGATGGCGCTGTTTGGTGCAACATTGACAACCGTCTTGTGTTGAACTGTGGTGGCATGACAGGTGCGGTCTGCCTTGTTTTTGCTCTTTCCTCAGATTAAATAGACTTATGTCTTTTGATGTTTTCTGAGGGGGCTAAGGTGACTGCGAAGAGAGGAAAAGTAGTTTGCTGAAATCCCTTTTCACTCTCAAAACATTACCACTGCAATACAGAGGCAATCACCCTGTGCTCTCAGAGTGCCTGGATGCTTTGTCCGTGCTGTGTTGAAAGCCAGCCAGCCTCTCACTGTAAGGCAAAGCACAAGGATGGCCTCCTTTTTTTTTTTTTTTTTTTTAAATACAAAATTGTATTGCCATCGTTGCCTGAGGTTATGTA